CCAATGTCATTGTTCTTAGGTGCTGTGTAGTCAAGTACAACTCATAGGGACCCTATAAACATTAGATCTCAAACTTCCCCTATCCTGTGCCATCCTCAATCAGCTCTGCCACTTTAATGTCCACTGTTATAGTCATAGTATTAATACATCTCATTAAAGGTCTTCTTCTTCTTTGCTGACTTTTCACATTTCCAAGCATGATGGCTTTCTCTGAGGACTGGCCCCAAGAGAGTACAGCAATATATGAGAATCTAGTCAGCAGTAGTGGGATGGGTTTGGCTTTCACTTTTCTGTAATTCATCATATATACCTCACTGTTTCATTGTAGAACACATTTCTACTTCAGTAACTATTAATCAGATTTTACACGGTTCTTATTAAAAAATAAATACGTAGAAATTCTCATCTTTTGTTGATAAGTGCCATTATGTAGACTCTGACTCATAGTCACTCATGCACAGCCGACGCTGCCCCATCTTCACCATCTCTGCTAGGCTTACCCTGCTGATGTCAATGTCTGAACACATCTTATTGAGGATGCTTATCTCTTTTCCTGAAGCATCATGTCCGGGTACATATGAAGCATTTTGTTACCGAGCATGGGCCCTTCCTGATAACATGCCCAGTGTATGTGAAACAACATCTCCTCACCCTTGCTCTGAAGAAGCACCTAGTTGTACTTCTTCCAACACAGATTCTTTTGGCACTTCATGTCCAATAATCTTAGGTCAGCCAGAATTCAAAGGTATCAATTTTTCTGTGATCTTCTTTACTCATTGCACACATTCCTGAGCATATAAGACAATTTATAAAAGCATGATTGAGTCAGATATATGTTACAAATGGATATTCCTGCTCTTTAGGACTTTAAACAGATCCTTGACAACAGATTTGCCCAACGGAATATATCTTCTAGTTTCCTGACTGTTGCTTTCATGAGTGTCGATTGTTGTGATACAATGAATTAAGCAATAGGGCCATTCTGGCCACTGTCTTCTATTTTTTGATACTACCGTCTGTTAGATCTCACTCTAGAGCAAGTTATTTGTAGGATTAGGGTGGGATAAATACAGAAGCCCAAATTATTGCAAGGAACAATCTGAGTCACCATCTTTAGTTTACTTGGAGGTGTGGTTTAGACCTGTGACCCTATACAGAAGATTAATCCTATGAACCTTGATTTTTTTTCACTCTGGACATTGCATCTAACTTGAACCAGTGCTACTACAGCCAAAAGCTGACAGCCTCAGCTTGCAGGCAGCTGGCCTGTCCCTTGCCAGATTCTGCATTCACATCAGGTGAGCAATTTCCCTGATATGCTGAGTTTCTGTGAACATTCTAGCAAATTGCAAAATCCAAACACACAGACAAGAGGGAGAGGGCTGTGGTGAGGAGGGATAATCAATGTGAGAGGTGTCAGAGTTGTTACAGCACTCTGGAGCAGTTTGACATTTAGGACATTTTTAACTTCTATCATCCAGGAATTCAAAAACACTCACACACTCATTGCTGTCGAGTTGGGTTTTCAGAGCCTATAAATCTCAAGGAAAGAGACTGCCTATTTGAACCACCCACCATGTGATTGATAGCACAATTCCCTACTGTAGGTTACCACAGCTCCCTTATTATCCACATAATTGTATATCCAACTAAAATTAAACTCTTATAAACTTCAATCTCTCCTCCATATACCACAATGTTGCCTATTGTTTCAATTTTTTGATGTTCAGAAGTATAATCTGTAGAGAAGGCTGTAGACTCTGATTTCCACCAATAAATGTTAAGCCCTCTTTATATTCAGCAAGCCAGGCTGTACATCTATTCTTTAAAGGTTGTTGATGAATCTTCCCAGTCCTGATACCAAATTCTCTTTCATATTGTCCAAATTTTCTGATCATTTGGTGAGCAAACATTAAATACAAAAGAGGAAAAGTGACAAGCCTGATAAACATGTTTCCTGATCTTAAAGCATGACTTATCTCCTTGTTGTATTCAAATAAACGAGTGCTTTGTGGTTCATGTACAGACCCAGATAAGCAAAATGAAGTGTTCTAGATTCCTATTCCTCTCAATGTTAACAATACTATGTTAGGATCCCTAGAGTGTGCACTTTTCTAGTCAAGAAAGCACAAACACCTTTCCTGTATTCTATGCTTTTGGCTGAGTTACATCTGGCAGCTACTGAAATTACCTTGAATTTCTGGCTGTTCCTTGTTATTTTTGCTCTAAATGCATTTTAATAATTCATAGTTGCATATATATATGCAATGGAGAACTTTAATATCAAATTGTTCTTTTTCTATTTAATTGTTTTAAAAATGTTCAATTGGGTTTGGTTTAATATTCTATATTGGCTTGTTGTGTTCTTTATAAGTGTGGGGGGTTTTTTAGCTATCTTTGAGTTGAATGCGACTGACAGTGACTCTATGAACAAATCTATGGCTAAGCCTTGCCCTATCCTACACCAACATCAAGATCTGTCATGTTCAAGCTGACCATCGTAGTCAGTATGTCAATTCATCTTCATGAGGATCTTCTTCTCTTTCTGACCCTTGCCCTTTCCCAGAACAATGTCTCTCTTAAGAACTGTTTCCTCCTGAAATATGCCCAAAGTGAGACAAAGTCTTAGCATCTTTGCCTTTAAGGAACAAGCGGGTTGTACATCATTGAGAAAGACATGTTTGATCTTTTGACAGCCCATAATACAGTCAACACTCTTTGCCAAGAACATAATTCAAAGATAATGATTCCTCAGTCTTCCTTACTCATATGTGCACCTCCTTGGTCTTTAAACTGATACCTTTTCTTTTTAGAACTTTGGAAAGAGGTCCTTGACCACAAATTTTTCCAATGCATTATGATTTCGGGTTTTTTTAAATTTTCTACTAGCTTACTTACAAAATTTGAATACATGAAAATAACCCAGTTGTCCAATCACAAACGAATGGACTGAGAAATTATGGTACATTCACACAATGGAACACTATGCAGCATGCAGGTGCAATAACTTTGTAAATTATTACCTAACTTGGGAGGGACTAGAGAGCATTATGCTGAGTGAACTAACTCAGTCACCTAAGGATAAATATAGTATAAGACCATTATTGTAGAAGGAGTATTAGGATCCAGGAGGGATGTGATGTGCTGGGGGAAGGGGAATTTACTCATTGGGTTGTACAATTTGATTGGTGGGGGGGTGAGAGAAATTGAAAGAATTTGTTTAAATTTGTATTTTAATTTTGTAAATAAACTAGTAGGAAGAAAAATTTGAATACATTGTTTTCAAGAACAAGTTTTTCAATTTCCCTCACCCCCACCACCTATCAAATTGTACAACCCCATGATCAATCCCACCTCCCCCTGCACATCCTCATCCCTCTGTTTCCAACCTCTCCCACCCCTCTTGGGTCCTTATAATCATTCTACAATATTTATCTTTGTGGGACTGATTTAATTCACTCAGCATAATGCTCTCCAGTCCCTCCCAAGTTAGGTAATAATTTACAAGATCATTGCTCCTGTATGCTGCACAGTATTCCACTGTGTAAAGGTACCATACTTTCTCAATCCATTCATTTTTGGTTGGACATTTGGGCTGTTTCCATGTTCTTGCAATGGTGTATAATGCTGCTATGAACGCTGGTGTACAAATCTCCGTTTGTGCTTCAGATCTAATTTTCACAGGGTATATTCCAAGTAGTGGAATAGCCAGGGTCATATGTCATTTCTATGTTCAGCTCCTTTAGGAAGTGCCAAACTGCCTTCAAGAAAGGCTGTAGCATTTCACAATCCCACCAACAATGTGTAAGAGTTCTTTTCTCGCCCCATCCACTCCAACATTTATCAATTGCTGTCCTTTTAAACTTTGTCACTATTACTCCAGTAACAATGATTTCAATTTCTGATTGCTACTTCTTGAATGTTAACTGTTGATCTAACAAAAATGAAATAATTCCTAATCTTTTCTGCACCTATCATGTCCAGTAGTGAGGATTTTTGTTTTCTTCATGTTGAGATATAATCCATATTGAAGACTATAGTTTTGAACTTCTGCAATAGCAATAAGCAAGACTGTGTCACTGGCAAAATACAGCTTGTTAATGAATCTTCCTCCCACCCTTATGACAATGTCTCTTTCCACAGTTGTAGTGAGCTCTCCAGCCCCATTTCTGTCACCATTTCTGATATTTTTCAACTACCAGTCCTTCTCTGCTTCCAATTTTTGCATTCCAGTCACCAATTATTATGACTGAAACTTGACTGCATGTCTATTTCATATTGCAAATGTTGATAGAAATCCCCAATGTCTTCATTTTGGGCTTTCATGGTTAACGTGTCTATTTAAATACTGGTTTTATTTACAAAACTTCTGTTTACATGTATAGACAGTGTCCTCTACCACAGTATGACACAGGATAGATCTTGATTATGTTCTTTTTGACAATGAATGCCACATCATCTTCAGTTTGTCATTTTTATCATAGTAGATATCATGATTGTCTGAATCAAAATGGCCAATTATCAGTCCATCTTAGCTCACTAATGCTGAAAATGTCAATTTTTATGCATTATTTTTCATATTTTACAACTTGCAGTTTTTCTAGATTCATACTCCTTACATTCTTTGTTCCAGTGGAAAAGGGTATATGATCTAGTAGGAAGGGTTTTACTTAAGTCTGGTTGTTTTGTGTTGAGTAGATTTTGATTCAGAGTAATCCCATAGGAGATAGAGTACAGCTGCCTACTAGACATTTTACAAAAGCAGACTGCTACTTCTCTCTCCCAAGAAACGCTACTTAATATGAACCACAAGTCTTTGGATTAGCAACCTAGCACGTAGCCACTACTGCACCAGGACGCCCTCAAAGTAGTCCCGATAAGTTATTTTAGTGATGATAAGATCAATAAAAATGGGCTACTTCTATCAGGACTGAACAGAATTTAATTACATTTTAATTAATGTATTGTTTGAACCTAGTCAACTTAAGAGTACAGATTACCTGCTATAGTGTTGAGAAACATCAAGTACTCGAAATTTGAAATCTCCCTGTGTTGCCATCGCTGAGTCATATTAGAAGCTTTAAAAAGTTGACGTGGGCTAGCTAATGAGATGCGCCTGGGGAAAAAGAAAAAGAATACCACTTGAAATCAATTTCATTCTAAAGCTCAAGAATAAATTATAAATTATCTACAACCATTCTGATAACAGCATCATTCTGAAAATGTCTATGTATATTACACTGTAACACTACAAATGTTTCTATGCACAATTAATGGTAATCAAAATATTTCGACTAGCTCCATGTCTATTATACACATTCTACTTATTCAGGTAAAGTTATCTTACAATGTAATTATAATATCTACCTATTCAGGTAAAGTTAACTTACAATGTAATTATAAAACGTAGGTTTCAAAGAGGCTATTTTCTGATTAATAACATACTGATTAACTGATACATAAAAGGAAGGAACTATAATAGCCACAAAATGTATATTTAAAGTAGGTTTATATTAACCAACTTTAAGCCAAGACTCAAGCATAAGATAGTAACACAATATATTTTAAATATTTGTACACTCTTTGTAACAATAAATTAAATGTGTCTACTCATGAGTGGGAAACTACCTTTTGTTCACATACCTGTCTAGAAAACCAAGATGTTATGCTTTAATAGTGAAATGTAAATATAAAATAACTGATTATTAGTAAGCAGTGGGAAATGCATGACAGGATTATCACATGAACAGCCTAAAGCCTTAGAGAAGTATGCTGACACTGTTGCACTCATCACTAAAAATAAGGCAACTACAGATTATATAGAGTATCTGTAATAATGGGCTCTGGCATATCAATAATGATCAGGATGGCTTAGAATAAGACTAAGTCCAGATATGTTGTAAAGAGGGTTACTATGAGTCAAAATTATGGCACCTAACAACAACACTTAGTTAAAAAAACTCTACTGATGAATAATTTATGCACTACAAGAGTCAGTGACTTTAAAAATATCAAATTATGGTTCTGACTCATAATAACTTTTATATATTGGAATATATTCTTGAATTATAATTTAATTACATTGTCATCAGAGAAAGTATGTAATAAAATACCAAGATTTGTTATTTTTTAAAAAATAACAAATTATAGGATACTTTTACTGCTAAAACAACTTGCTTTGTACCTAGTTAAAAGTTAGCTCCTATTCCTAACTCCAGCTTTTGGCAACAACCAATCTGTTTATGGGCTCCATAAACATGCCTATCTAGATGTTTTGGATAAATGGAAAAATACATTATGTGATCTTTTCCATCAGGCTTCTTAAATCTAAGAATAACGGTTCTGAGATTCATCAGTGTTGCAACCCTCATCACTAGTTAATTTCCTTTTACTGTTGAATAAATGCTACTGTACAGCATTTTCCTTTTCATTAACCAGTTGTGAAGTTTAATTTGCTTCCTATTTGGGTCTACTACTAATAACACTACTATGAGCAATGCTATCTAGGTCTTTATCAGAACATACACTTTCCTTTTTTCCCAGTTGTTGTTGTTATTGTTAAGTGCTATCAAGTCAAGCACGACTCATAGCGACACTGTGAACAGAGGATCTGAACCCTGTTCTATTGCTCCTCCTTCCTCACACTTTGATACACAGCAGCCCACTGTAGCAGTCACCATAATAATCCACCTGGTTGAGGGTCTTCCTCCTCGCCAACCCTCCACCCGTCGCAGCGTGTCCTTCTTCAAGGAATAGTACCTCCTTGCAACATGTTCAAAGAACGTGAGGCGAAGCTTCATCATTCTTGCCTCCTAAAAGCACTCTGGCTACATCATCTGTAAGACATATCTATTCATTCACTTGGCCTTCCTTGGGATGTTCATTGATCTTCTCCAACACCATAGCTCAAAGGCATCATTTCTTTTTCTGTCATCCTTATTCACTGTCCAGCTCACAGATGCATAGCTAATAATTGGAAAGACTATAGCCTGAATCAGACACACCTTAATCCTCAAACTGACATCACTACTCCTCAATAATTTGGAAAGGTCTCTAACTGCAGATTTTCCAAGTGCAACTGCATTTTCTTATTTCCTGACTGCTCGTACCAAGGGAGTTAACTGTGGATCCAAGCATGATGAAGCTGTTGACAGTTTCAATCTCCTCTCCATCCATCATAACATGGTCTATTAGTCCAGAGGCAAGAATCTTTGTTTTCTTAATTGAGAAAATACTATACTGAAGGCTGCATTCCTTGAATTGCTGGAAATGTAAAACTGTTTTGCAAAGGTTTATCACTGTACACTTCAACCAGCAATACATGACTTTCCAAACTTTCTATACACTGCACAAACTGACTATGGTATGTACGTTTATTCTTATTGTTTGGTAGGGCCAACAAGTTGAATAGGACTCATAAAGACCTTTTAACAACAGAGATAAACTCTGCCCTATCCTTTGCCATCCTCATCATCTCTAATACACCCGGCCCCACTGATATAGTCACGATGTCAATCTAACTTGTTGACAGCCCTCCTCACCTTCACTGATCTTCTACCTTTCCAAGTATGATGTCTTTTTTTCCCAAGGACATGCGCCTCTTAATAACATGCTCAAAGTATGTGTGAATACATTTCACCATCCTTGCCAAAAGGAAACATCCCTGTTATATCTTCTTGAAGACACAGTTTTTGGCAGCCCATGAGATATTCAGCACTCTAACACTACAATTTAAAGGCCTTGATTCTTCTTCTTTTACCCTTCATCACAGTTCAACTTCCATACGCATAGCAAGGAAAAGACCACAGCTTGAATTGGGTGCTTAAGTGTTCAAACTGATGTCATTGCTCCTTAATACCTTGGAGAGGTCCTTGATGGGAGATTTTTTCCAATGTAAAACAGCCTTACATATCTTGACTGCTGGTACCAATGTTGTTGATTATGGATCAAAGTGAAATGAAATCAATGCCAATTTCAATCTTTCCTCCATCTAATATGATTTTGCCTATTTGTGAGGATTTTTGTTTTCTGGATGTTGAAAAGTAATCCATATCAAAGGCTATAGGCTTTGGTATTCTGCAGCAAGCATTTTAAGTCCTCCTCTCTTTCAGGAAGCATGGTTCTATCATCTGTATTAACAGACTGTTGATGAGTCTTCTGTGATCCTGATTCCACATTACTCTTTGTAACATGAAGTTTCTCTAATGATTTGCTCACTACACAGACTCAGTAGGTATAGAGAAAGGCACTGCCTGATGCATACTTTTCTGGATTTTACATTATGCTGTATTCCTTTGCTTTATTCTGACAACAGGTCTAGGTTTAGGTTTCATATGAACACAGTCAAGAGTTCTGGGATTCCTATTCTTCTCAAAGCTAGCCATAATCTGCTATGATCCACATGGTAAGATGATTTTGCATAATCAAGACAACATTAATTTCTCAAATGCTTGTGAGCATTGTACATCTTCTCTGGTGAAATGAGATGCACTGCCTAAATGGACTCTTAGTATTACAGCAAGCATGTGAGTTGACTTGAGCATTCTACTTTTCTCTTTTTATTGTTGTTGTTATGTGCTGTCAAGTCGCCTGCGACTCATAGAGACCCTATGTACAACAGCCCTAAACACCGCTCTGTCCTGTGTCAATCGCACTGTCTCTGACACTCCCATCCTAATTATCCCAGTCACTGAATCAGTCTACCTCATAGAGAGCCTTCCTCTCCTGCGCTGTCCCTCCACCCTCCCAAGCATGATGTCCTTCTCCAAGGACCTGTCTCTCCTCACAACATGTCCAAAGTATGTTAGATGGAGCCTCAGAATCCTTGCCTCCAAGGAGCCACCCAGTTTAACCCTTTTCAGGACGAATCTGTTTGTTTTCTTAGCAGTCCATGGTATTCTCAATACTCTTCTCCAGCACCACAGCTCAAAGGCATCAATTCTCCTTCTATCCTCCTTGGTCATTGTCCAACTCTCAGATGCATAACAGGTGATTGCGAAGACCATGGCCTGTATCAAGCACACCTTAGTCTCCAGAGAGACACCATTGCTCTTCAGTACTTTGGAGAGGTCTCTAACAGCAGACTTTCCCATGGCAATGAGCCTTTTAATTTCCTGGCTGCTGGTGCCAAGACTGTTGACTGTGGAGCCAAGCAAACTAAAGCTGTGTACAATCTCAATCTCTTCACCATCCATCCTGATGCTTCCAATTGGTCCAGTGGTGAGAATCTTTGTCTTTTTTTAATTAATAACCTGGAATCATTATCATTAGTGGGGAATATAAACCAACATGCTGCACTGAATGCCACACAACAAGCTATAGTATCCTCTCCAACTCAAGGATCTATATCCCTAATCATTACTGGCTGAATATTTTGCCATTGAATTTTCTCACAAAAAGGTGATCTATAAGGCTTTGGACACATCACCTCACTGAAAGGGACCAGCTACTGGCTAGTCTTATTAAAATTAAAATTAAAACTCTTATTAAAGCTGAAGACATCTCCAGTTGGGGCAGGTCAATTCAGTTTTAGTAAGATCCCAGAAAGCCTTATTAGTTAAAGGGAAATAGTATGTTCAAGGGCATGGCTGGAATTAGTGTCATCTCAGTGTTCCATGAAGGGAAGGTAGTTAGCTACCGGGGAAAACATTATTCTGCACCCCCTTTCCTAAAGTATAGCTACTAGCTCCCGTGTGTGTGTGTGTGTGTGTGTGTGTGTGTGTGTGTGTGTGCATGCGCGCGCACGCGCGTGCGCTCATGCGTGCACATGAAACAGAATTCTGCATTCCTAAGTCTAGATAAGCCGCTTTGGTGGCCTAGTGGATAAAGTGCTACATTGCTAATTCCAAGGTATGTAGTTTTAATATAGAAAGTGCTTCTTGGGAGCAAAATGGACAATCTCCTCACAAGCAATCTACAGTGTTCAAAAACCTGTTGGAAGATCAGCAATGAGTTGGTTTCCATTCAGAGATAATGATACTTGGGAGCGAGAATGATGGTGATGATTGATGGAAGGCGAACTGAAACCTGATCTTGCCCAATGGCTTCTTTCAGCAAGCCATTCTGTTTCCATGACAGATGCAGAATCAAAAAAGGGAGAGGGTCATTTTTCTCAAT